AGAAGACTCTGTTGTCCGTAGCATTACCACACAAGACATCTTGACAGGCGCTACAAGACTTCCCTTCACCAACAGGTGGCTAAAGGCCCAATCTGTATGCAGTGATTTGCGTAAAACTCATGCTCATCTCCGTCTGGGAACTCGTCCATAAAAAAAAAAAAAAAAAAAAAAAAAAAAAAAAAAAAAAAAAAAAAAAAAACTCACTAATGTCAAAGATGTAAAGCGCTACTTGAATGTCTGCACGATTGCACGGGATGGCCTTGTTGTCGTTAAACAGGATAAACCAATATCACCCAGTAGGGAGCGCATTGTGGTCCCTTGAAGCGCCCTTTACACATCAGACTAAACCATCCAAGTTGCTACCAGCTGAAGATAGTTTCTCAGAGATACTTCTATGCTTTTGATCTGGACAATGCGCTCCAGCGTGTAACCCACACGTCACCACTGTGCATCTTTACAGCAGTTCCCTAAGGCATTACTTCAGCAGTCAACTACCGATCCTCCAAACGCCATAGGTTACACATTTGCAGCAGACGTCATTAAACGAGAACGCCAGCTTATTCTCGTAGTTCGTGAGTGTGTGACTTCCTTTACTACACCATGCCTTATAGAAGATGAGCGTCACCAAACCCTTTGCAATGCTCTAATCCAGCTATGCGTTGGCTTACTTCCCCTAGTTGGTCCCACTGCTGTTGTTCGTACTGATCCTGGAATAGGGTTTCAAGCCTTTGTGAAGAATGATCTACTGAAACAACATCATTTATGCATTGAAGTTGGACGCATAAAGAATATTAACAAAAACCCAATAGCGGAAAGAGCTGTACAAGAACTACAAGTTGAGCTGTTGCTGTCGGATCCGTCAGGAGCGCCAATTTCAGCTACCAAATTAGCCGTTGTTACAGCTAGACTCAATACCGGCATCCAAGGAACAGGGTTGTCAGCACGTGAAATGTGGACTCAGAGGGATCAATTTACTTGTACACAGTTACCCATGGTAGACCCAGATCTGATAATTGAGCAACATAGGCGACGGGTCACAAACCACCCACATAGTGAACAATCTTAGGCTCCCAGCAAAGAAAATGTTAGTTTGTGTGAAGTTGCAGTCGGAGACTTGCGTGGTGTATTTATATTCTGACCGCTCCAAATTAAAAGGCCGTGATAGATATTTAGTCACGTCAGTTGATGGACAGTGGTGCAACATTCGTAAATTTACAGGATCTCAACTCAGAGCGAATTCCTACAGAGTAAAGTTATCAGAATGCTACAAAGTTCCAAAATGACACTCTTTCATCTTCTGATTATTTGCGACACAATCAAAGTTCAGATGGGGAGGCTTCTGACAATGAAAAAGACAAAAGTGAAACCTCTCAGACTTCATCTCCTGCGCAGCCATTTATTCCACATGCCCTTTCTCTCCCTGCCAGTGATGAGATAGAAACATCAGCACTAGAACCTGACAATCAAGTACAGTGTAGATACATGTACAACAATAAATGAGACATTGTCACGAGAGACCAATAATCTTCCACCAACATCTCCAAGGAAGTCTACCAGACAAAGACGTGAACCGAAATATTTACAGGACTGTGTCATGTATCAATAGTTTCAATTTAGAGACACATATGACAAGTTAGGAAAGGGCCAGAATAATGCCCAACTGTCACATCTAACATCCAGCAGAGGGTAGTCTACCCCTCACTGGCTATTGTTGACATATTAGTTTATGTATTTAGAACTTTGAGGGATGTTTATAAACAATTAAGTTAATTTAGTTCAATAGATATTGTAGTTTAAAGCGTTGAACTATTTATATATGTATATAAAAAAGAGAGAGAGAAAGAAGAAAAATGGTCGCGCCAGTGTGGCTTGTCTTGTGACCTAGTTTTCCGCTGAAGAATCCATTGCAACTCGTGTTATCGTTGGTGTTAATGTTTTAATACAATTTTAAAGTCTTAATCAGCGTGTTTCTTATTCTGTTGCTGAGACGTTTACACTTTACTGGCGCATGTTTGGTGACAGGAATTATCCATTTGTTCACCAGGATGACAGTGCTCTTTGTCACAGACCCAGAGCAGCTGATGATTGGTTTGACCAACAGGACATTCGCAGGGTGCTGTGGCCTGCCCAGAGTCCGGATGCAAACATAATAGAAAATGTGTGGAATGTTTTGTCAAAACTTTTGACAAATGCCCGTCCAACCAGCAGACAAACTATGTTAGGGCGCATTCCCATAGTTTTTAGATCGATCTATCCCCGTGGGAAGTCTCACTAAATTACTGTCAGATAATCCGGCTTAAATGTCCGTCCCGCCTACTACAAGCTGTAGGGGGGTAATTAACTTTCGTTCCCGCTCGGCTGACAGCTAGGCCCCTATTTAGCGTGAACCCCCAGGGAGTTAGGTCGATCTAGTTGGATCGATCTTATCTCTGGGAATGGGGTCTTAGATTCAGTGTTTCATGCTTGGGCCAGCATAAGCCCTGAACGCTCTTTGTACTGCTCTGAAGGCTCTTGTTGCATTTTAAAAATCAAAATCAGGCAATGATATGATAGATGAACAAAACTTTTTTTAGGTCTCATTGTTTTATATTTTAAACTTGACTTTAAAAAAAATCCTAATGACAAAGTCAAAAGTCATGTAGGCCTACCACGTCTGGAGTGAGAAAACATGATTCTTTGAGTAAAATGCATAAAATAAGGTATTACTGAAAATTAATTGAAAGTTATTGCTGTCAATAAATACAAATAAAGTGTCATTAACTGTTGGCTTTTTTTCAGGACGGTTTCATGTTTCTCGTCGGGAAGTGCAGAAGGAGCCAGTATGATAGAATATAAAGTTGGCATCAGTATGCCTACTTAGAATTTTGTATTCTGTAAATATTTATATATGCCAAACGACTAATAATTTACAAATTATTTCAGTCGGTGTTACGAGTTAAACCTGGAAGAAATTGATTCAGAATGTTTCGAATGATGCTGTTAAAGAGAGAGGCGTTATGTACAGCTTTTTCCAATATGTGATTAATATTAAATTGAAAATTATATTTTCTTATCTTTAATTTTTTTGAAATTTTATGTTTAAGGTAACAAATAATGGTCATTGTATGCCACTCATTCTGCTAGTTGAATCAATGTTAAACTTCGAGATTGTGTTAGTTGCGACATGTAATTTGTTCAATTCGGGTATTGTGGTTGTTGCGACATGGCGAAGTGATAAATAATTAATCAAAATTAATCTTATCGCATGGAATGTTCATACTGTAAAAAGGAGATAAATGCATATGCATATTAGATAGACTAATGTTATATTGTATTTACATGAAGGAACAAACTCGTGATAAGCGTCTACAATGTCGCACCAAGGGGAGGATGAGAGGGGCACTTACCTGTAACATAGCTCCTTTATCTTCCATAATAATAAATAATCAATTAATAAAATAGATAACACGGAAGTGAGCTAGCACGCAGTATCATACAATTTTCTATTGTTCTAAACTAAAATTGAGGTCAAAAAAGAGACAAACACGAGGTACCGTACGGGGGGAAGAAAAGACGTTGCAGTAGGGAAAATATTTCTGGAATAGCACTTTTAATAAATCAAACCGCTCCACGTTTTGGTCCTCTAGAACAATTTCTTGTGCCTGCAATCACCCCCCCCCCCCAGGTGGCGTTTGGTGAATTGTTATTTTAACAACTTAAATGAAATTTTGTACTTTTGTACTTTTGTACCTTTCTGAATGAGTGTAAACGCATATACTAAGAGTGCATTTCCAGAGATTTCGTGAATTTTCCAAAACAAACTGAAGAAACATTGGGTCATTTTTATACAGTTTGAACAAGTGCATATACTTTATGTGACACAAGGCCAGGCAAATTGATAAAACGGTAAACGAGCACTTCCGATCCCTATTTTTAGAAAATAAGGCATTTTAACCCCCTTACAGTGCTGACTGACCTGGATATTTTGCTTCTGTGCTCATTAAATGACATATGTTTGAAAAACAAATATTGATAACCAACTTTGTTGACAAAGTCACCCAAGTTATCATTTTTGTCTGTCCTAATTGTTTAGTTTTTTTTTTTCAAATACAAAATGACATGATTTTTTTTTGAGATTCTACTTAAGTCAACAGTTCATGAAAATAATAATTATATTATTTAAAGACTACTTAAATATTTCAAATTCAACAATAAATTCCATGATTGGAACATGTAATTTGCTTATAAGACATTGAAAAAATAGGGAAAAACAAATGTGTGAAAACCTATCAATTTACTAGTGGTCCCTTATCAAGAATTGCGTATAATAAATTCTCCCTTTGTTTGATAAAGTGTCTGTGATGAAATATTTAAATTCTACATATTACAAACATCATACTGGTCCTCAAGGCATGCCGTTATAAACTTACTTTACAGAATAAATCATAGCACTGGAAATAAAAATAAATTATAGGGGCCTATAAATATACTGATTCAAATAATTATGATTTTATTTACTCAAATTAATCCAGCAAAAAGTGTTAGACAGAGATTGGTCCCAATATTTCAGCACACACAAAAGTTTACTCTTAGTGCAGTAGTTATTTATGACATGATGCTGTTAAATTGTATTGGTAAGTGTATTGGAAATAGGAGCATACATGTAGGTCACATATTTACCTGAATAAAAATTTAAAAATAACTCTTCTTAGTCATCTATGCCTATTGGACAACTGTTTTTTTTTTTTTGTTTTTTTTTTTACATGGAAGAACATGAAAAATTATATATGACATGTAAATGCACTGCTCTGACATTGGTCCCTCTCTATATATTGAGACTCATAATAATTTTTAAATTTTCTTATTCCTTTTGTGCTATGATTCACAGGAAAACCCTGTTCACCTTATCCTTGGCCTATATATACATATATATTATGCATGTTGAATTTAGTTAATCCTAATAAATAAATAAATAAATAAATAAATAAATAAATAAATAAATAAAAATGAATACATTAAAAATGTAACTTGAAATGATTAATTAATCGAATAAATACAATATGTTACCCTTTAATATTGTCTCATTAAATTTTATCATATATATGCTATTCATGAAGTTCTTATGATGAGACCAAGTGGTATATCACTTAATGTGACTGACCACAAATCAACACTCAAGTTTTTCAACAGCACTTGTGACCCTTCATTTGTATGCTTTCCACAAGGTCCCAAGTCAAATAATGTCAAAGGTCAAACCAGGCCAAAGGTCATCTAGAATGCCACCTGCTACACCATATTGACATGTAACTTCAGAATATCCAGACAGCTGATTGGTTGAGAGATCCTCATGATTCCCCATGCTGCTCCATTCACAGGCAGAGAGCCAGCATAGGACAGAATGCTAGCATTGGCTCCAGCCAAGGCTCCTGGAAAAGTGATGAGTTGTTAGACACATGTCCAAGTTTTACCAAAGGGGTCATTCAGAATAGATGATCCAAGTACTAGCTGATCTGCCGCCTAAATATGCCCCACCCCACTGGAAAAGCAATATGCCACTAATTCCATGATGGTCTCCCTGCCTCCATACCCCCTGTCACTACAGGAGCCCAGCAATTAAACCTTGGAGCTGAGATTTAATCTGTTAGGCAATGATATTTGCACTAAGAATGTAAAAAAGACCCTCCCTGTATGTGGCTCCACCTACCTGCCACGGTGGCATAACCTTAGACCCCAATCCCAGAGATAAGATCGATCCAACTAGATCGACCCAACTCCCTGGGGGGTTCATGCTAAATAGCTGTCAGCTGAGCAGGCACGAAAGTTAATTACCCCCTTACAGCTTGTAGTAGGCGGGATGGACATTTAAGCTGGATTATCTGACAGTAAACTAGTGAGACTCCCCACGGGGATAGATCGGTCTAAAAGCTATGGGAATGCGCCCTTAGGGTTGGCCTGACTCTTGTACACCAACACATTGCCAGCTAGAGAGACAGGAGTTGATACTGAGGCTCCGTTAATCTGAGCTAACTTCTCCTCAGCTGTAATTTTTCAAGATAAGGCTACTTTGGGACTTTTTCTGAGTATTACATTTGTTTTATTTTGCTTTCTCCAATCACCTTTTGCACATTATATACCCACTTCTCATTTTTACTTCAGTAACTTAATAACCACACACACACATAGCACAAAAGAGACTTTAATTTACAAACATAAGGTTCCCACATAAATTAACATATATTATGCATGCACAATAGCGTTAGTGTAATGGGGTCCAAGTTCTACCAGCTACATGTAGATAAGATTAGGTTTGTTAGTTTATAACAAGTCAGCTGATTTCAAAACAGTATTGTCTAGTCAGCCATATTGAAAGAAAGGTAGGGCTTGTACACTGAAATTTTATATCGACATTATTTATATTTAATGTTACTCAAAATGCTTTTCATAGTAAACTATGGTATATATATATATAAGAACATCACATATGATGACGAAAGTTCATGATATATGAAATATATTGAGGTCAGGAATATATATGACACAAATAGAAACAAAAATTGCTCATCTAGTTTGGAGGTCAGGAATTTCCAAATGGAAATGTATTGTGCACTTTTCATTAGATCTGTTTTGATGAGGAAAAGTCACACACATTTCAGATCTAATACTTTTATAATAAATATTATAATTATTATCATAAATTATACCAATTTACATTGTAGGAAGTTAATTAACTATGTGAGACTGTAGCATCAAAATGTGACAGTCGCCCAGCAAAATCGAGCCATCTTCACGGATTCAGTGCAATGTCAGCACGTGCACATACCGGTATACATACCACATCAACTGAATTTAAAAACAACTGGTATAATAATTCAAGTTTTTTATTTATTGTAGGAGGATTATGTATTAACTGTGACACTAAAACATCATAATGGGCCGGACGTCAAGCAAGCCAATTGCAGGACCGAGTAGGCTTAACACCAATATGAGACAATGCACCTGCACATGTCAACAACTCCACAATGATCTTATTAACAAACTTGCAGATGAAGTCAGTGAAAAGGAACACCTACCAAAGATCAAACGTCAGCTTTGGGGAAAGCTAGGGGTAGGAAGCATGGAAAATTTGGACAGACTCTCCTTGTTTAATCTTTTGGAGAACAACAATCTAATAGCTCTTGGGAATTATGGATACTTACAAGATTTGCTGAAAGGCACAGGAATTGAACGTCTGTGTGCAACTGTCCAGAAGACAGAAGACGAAATAAGCAAGTGTGATACCCACAGAAAGGATTCATCACCAAGCAGGAAGAGGAAAAGAGGTACTATTTTAATTGTTAAAATTGTGATCACTTTTGTTTAAATTTTGGTCAAAGACAATCACTCAGATTGAAGGTTTCTAAATTAATTAAGTTTGGTCTTTAGACAGTGTTTTCTGACTACTTTCCAGGTGTCACAGACAAACTAAAAATACTAGTACGGTAAGACAATGGCAAAAATGTAGTAACAATAACAAACTTTCTTTTATAATTCCCAATCATTATTTTATAGACTTTTAGGAAAATAAATTATCAACAGAACAGTATTTTCATAAACACTATTTATATGATCTATTTAAGGTCAGATTCCATGATATTTTCCATGACAGTTATCTTTGATGATCCATCCTCCACTTTTCTGACAGAAAAATTTACATGCTGACAATACAAAATCTTTTAAACTCTGAGTAAATTTTATCTTTCAGAGGACAGTGACAACAAGAACGAGTCTCTCTCTGATGGTAAGGGCCATAATTAATCATTTTCATAGAATTTTTCTCATTACTTTAATTATCACACTTAATTTCAGATAGTCCATGTAAAATAAGATTTCAATAATTGTCAATTGTTCTTTTAAAATATTACTATTTCAGTTGTACATTCTCATTTGTGTATCAGTTGGTCAAAATACATGAATACAAACAACATAATTTCTTTAAGTTTCATATTACCAAATTACTCAAATGAAATTTTTTGCAGATGAGGAAATTCCATCTGATCCAGAATTATGTGAAGAGAATGGCAAGACTTGTAAGTTAGAAGAAGGAATTTATGAGGAAGGTAATGGGGAGGCAGGTGCCATTACTGGCAGTAAATGAAAACAACAAAAATAATATCTGCACAACAATTATCTTGTAGCANATTTTGAAAGGGAGTGATATTTGCATTAAGAATGTAAAAAAAGACCCTTTATGTGGCTCCACCTACCTGCCACAGCTGGCATCACCTGAGGGTTGGCCTGACTCTTGTACACCAACACATTGCCAGCTAGAGAGACAGGAGTTGATACTGAGGCTCCGTTAATCTGAGCCAGCATGGGTGTTCCTGCTGACACGAACCCTCCCACCTGGTGAATAGCTCCACCTTGCTGCTGTACTTCCACAGAGACAAGACACTCCAGCTGGGTAGGTACCTGCTCCTCATGGGACGTAGACAACTAAAATATATTGAATTCTTTTTTATTAAATTAAACGATGTTAGCTAATAAAGAAGGAACATTTTTGTTTACTGTCATATTTTCAAGTAGAAAGGCATATACATGGAAAAGGAAATTAGGATACCGATTTTAATTTAAGTCATGGAGGGTGGGGTGGGGGGATTGGAGGAGAAAATGCCTTTGATCAATAAATAAATAAATAAATAAATAAATAAATAAATAAGACCACTCTGAGATCAATCCATTTTGCTGAAAAATTAAAATCTCACCTCAATATAAATTACATAAACTGTGGTTTATACATTGATACATATTTTTCACTATGGCCTTTATGGAAAGTCAAAAATTTCATATTAATTAATTAAGTTTATCTGAAAACATGAAATAAAAAGTATGTCAAAAACACTCCTCTTATTTGTGGATACTATAATAAAAAAAATTCATGTACATATTGAATGGTTTTACAAAAAAAAATTCTGAATGCAAACGTTGATTTTTCTCTTTAATGTCGGCCAGGCCTCTATAATAAGGCAGGATTTACTGTAGATAGAAAATACTACAGAATTTATTTCATAACTTCTTTTTATAAAAGGAAACTTGAGAAGGATTAAAAGAAAGTCTAAAAGTATAATGAAATATAATCAGACTGGGTTTGTTGATATATTCTGCATACACGTTGTCTAGATATATGTATTCTAGATTTACTATCATAGCAAATTTTATTAGAAATTAAAGAAAAACTACATTAAAAGATATATATATATATATATATATATATATATATATATATATTAAATAACTTTTTTCAAGACCCCCTTTTCTGTCATTTTCAAACCCAAGACCCCCCCCCCAATTTTTGTTTAAAAATGTCCAGGGCTCCCCATCTTCTCCTCCACCCTCTTCCTACTGACTGAAATAATGAGCTGTCCCTAATTATCAAACAATATCTGAAAATTCAATTTTCAATTATTTGTTTCTCTTACACTTCTAAACAATACTGAAATGGTTTTTCTGATTACTACTATTTGGATTAATTGTAAACAGTGTTATAGTGGTAAGCCTTTTTATTTTTGAGGAAGGGGGGGCATTTTCCAATAACTCATTCACTCACTTTCACTCCATTATTTTAACATTTTAAGCTAAAAACAAACAAGGTACTTTTAAGCCCTAAACCAGTGCACTTATCAAATTTCTGAATTATCATTTGGAACAGCTCATTTGTATGTTATAATCAAATTTTTTTTTTAGAAAATAAACCAATGAATTAATTTTACTCAAATTTGATAAGTAATTACCATACCTGTATGCCCTTTTCCTTGGCCAGGGGAGGAGCATTGATGAGATTGAGGTTATTGTCAGAATACTCTGATAACAGACCCACCAGGACAGCTGCACCAAGGTAGCTGCCTGCTTTCTTCATACCACACCCTGAAATAATAATTTTAAAAATGATTTCATTCAGTGCACATGTCATGCATATATATATATATATATATATATATATATATATATATATATATATATATATATATATATATATATATATATCAAGTGTGGCACCAATAAACACACTTATTTGTAACAAGGCAGAAAAGCTGTCAAATGTACAGACAAAAAACAGGAAATAACAAAATAGGCTACTGTCAATTCTGATGCAAAAGTAGATTATGTTAAACTGCAAATTCAACATCAAATTTTAATTATGCTCAACAGGTAATACCAATGTAAGTAAAATGTGTAACAAGCATAAGGTTTCAGTCCCATGGGAGTTCAAGTTCACACTTTGAAAATGTAGAACTTCCAGAAAAAGAAGTCAATTAGACTGCTTTTCCAACTCCAGCTGCATTTTAGTCCTGTATTTCTTTTTTGAAAGTTTGGCAATCATAAGTAACATGGTTTTCCCATAATGGTCATCATGGCAGCAGCACCCAAAATTGTGTATTCTTCTATTTTGATGCAATATTACATAATGGTTAACAGCATAATGACCATCAATTTTTAATAATAAAATATTAGTATCATGGATATTCAGAAAATGTGACTAGCAAAGGTCTTCAGGCCCATGGAACTTCAAAGTCACAACTTGAAAATGCCAAAATGTAAACAAGACAGCACTGTTCTGAAAAGTTTTTTTCCCATTTTTAACAATTTTTTTAACATAAAACAAAATTAACAGTTTACTGCCATTTTTATATGATCACCTTAAAAAATTGATGAGATGGGAAAAATATCAATAGAACAGTGTTAAATGTCCAATTTCCTCCATTCTGAGATTCTGGACTTAGTGAATGATTGAATCTGACAAACTGCAATGATATAAGTTAATTTCCATTTTTTAAAAACTCTATTATACAATACACTATAACAAGTTTACCATCATTTTTACAAAATCAACTAACAATGTTGTAAAGATGCAGGAAATGTAAAACAAACACTTTTACGTATCTTATTAGTTAAATAATGAGACTGTTAACAAGCCTAAGAATTGAATCTGAGGAAATGTGAAAAAACAGCATAACTTCTAAACAATGGCCCGATTATACTGATTTTCGAACTCAACCTGTCCTTTAGTAAGATTGACCACTCCTGTGAGTTTCATGACAACAGGCCTATCGGTTTTCCTTGAAATGTGTTAACAGTGTTGCATATATGCTGAAAAGTGAAAAGACAGCATAACTTCTACAATAATGGCCCGATCATGCTGATTTTCGAACTTGACCTGCATTTTATGAATGTCCATCAGCTCTGTAAATATAAAGCCAAAAAGTAAAACTGTGGTCTACTTATCATATTAACGCTGAAAAGTGCACGGCGACTGCGACACATCTGTGTCTGTACATAAAAACGACCAGAACCCTGATGGCAGCAGAGAGGACCCTTTGTTTCAATATGGTGCATCAAACAAAGTCATCAGCATCCATGACAAATGGATTTCAGCCAAGTTGATAATCAACTCACTTTTATATTAGCCTAGGATAGGAACGTTTCAGCTAGGCTGCATGTCCTGACTTTTTGTCAGATGTAAAAATCAAAACTCTTTGTTGAGAAATGAACAAATTGAACTGCAAAACATTTAACCCTGATGGTGATATTGTACTTCACAGAATATCATGTATGAAAGAAAAAGTATATGTAGTACATTTATTTCTTTGGAACTTTTTCTTCATGCCTTTCTTTAAGATAAGAGGTGTAATGGAGAGATAACAATATTTATGTATTAATTAAACAACTTTTGCTATGATACTTATTCCATAAATTTTATTTATTATCAGACCACATTGGTATTATGTAATCATATCTAGTCAATATTTGTACATTTAATTTGCTTTTATTTGGGAGCAAATTTGTATCATTTACTATGTACATGGAGGTATGTGTATTTCTGCTACAGATGCATGCTTTAAATCTGGTAAGTAGAAAAACATCCTGTTAACATTGCACAACAATTTGAAGCCACAGTTTCATGCATACTGATTCCACTTAGGTTTAAACTATATACAATGTAAATATTGTGCATGATAAAGATACTTGATTTGGAACTAAAGATATGTCAGGTTGTTTGTTATGTTTCTCTGTGCATGTAAAGTGGAACAGTTGGTCAGATCTGGAGTCATGGGGCCTTAAAGTTAATTCTTTGATGACAACTTGCTGAAATTAACTCAACTTATTTATTAAAGAGAAAGCCAAGTTAGATGTTTCACAATGTTATCATCTGCTTATGATTTAATGTTGACTTTATTATGGCTGCAATATTGATCAATTTCTTTATGGCTTCACCTTATTAACCAAAATTCTACAGTTCTGTTCTCTCTCCAGACTATATTCTTGTATATTCTATTTAGATGAATTGTTTTATTGTCTCGAGATCCCTACATCTTCATTAGCAACTTCACAAAATATAAATTAAACTTTATAATTCTTCTCCCTAATGCTTATCCATCACAAGATTGCACATAGACTAGCTGCTTCTCTGTCCTCTCTGGATAATTTTTATAGCTTCTCAAATGCACTATGACCATCACAAGACTCATAGTTTCTATTCTGTTCTCTCTAGTTCACGTTCTTCTGGTCTTACTAAGACTTGTCTTATAATTCCTCAGTAAGTCACCACTTACATTCTGGCTATTCCACTACTAGTATGTTATTTTCTATTAGTCTACACTGCATTCTGTACTCACCATATGTTATAACTTGCACCTGGGTATTGCTGTTCACCTCCCCTGCCAGAGATGCTGCCAATCTCCCCAGGGCTTCCCCCAGGGTAACCCAGGGTTGAGTTGCTGGGCTGAGAGCATTGCTTAAGGCTTGAGCATTTAACTGGAAGAGTGAGACGCGTAACTTAAGGACTGATAATAAAAATATTAGTCTTCACTGAACCAAAAAAAAAAAACGGTTTTGCACACCCTTGGCAATAAAATTAAATTGTTGCTTCAGATGGACCTGCACGTATGCTATATGAACTGTGTGAATTGCTATCAATTTCCAAGACCTTGTTTCAACCAGAAACTTATTAGTTTTTCATTATTGACATATTTTTTACATATACTGTAACATGTTTTGATGTCCACATTTACAGCAGTTACAGCTTACCGCCCCAAATAAACTCTTCCCCTGCATAGCATCTACGAACTGCTGCGCTATTTCTTCCGCTACTCTGGACTGAGCTTCTGTTGTGTTGGCGCCAAGATGTGGCGTACTCACCACCAGGGGGTGCTGTACCAGTGTGAAATCTTTTGGTGGCTCCTGAATGTTGAATTGGTTGAATATTTTAGTACCACGAAAAAATACAAAAAGCTATCAAAATCTATAGTTTGTTAGTATATTGTGAAAATGTATTTACTGCTATATAAGCAATTTTGGTTTTCAAAGAGCAACATTTAGTAAATTGATTATTACTACATTTTAGGTAATTCTCTAATAAATGGCACTTATGTGCAATATATTGAAGACTTTTTTCTTTGTTCAAATGTTATTCAAACTCAAATATAGTAAATAAAAATCAAGTACAACAGCTATCAGTTTAACCATCTTGCTACAGCATAGTAATAACACTGTAACAATAATAAAACTCAATCCAATTAATAAATTCTGACATAAAACACTCAATATTTGTATTATTGTATGCCTTTAACAATTTGCTCTAAAAAAATTGATACTGAGAACCTGGTGATCATTTCTCCTTCTCCTTCTCCAAGACAATGCCTTTTCATTGTACTTCCTTGAACATTTCCCCTAATAAGTCATAATAATAAGTCATAATAAGTCATAATAAGTCAGTACTTGTGATTTTCACCAACCTGTATAAACACATCAAGAGCTGCCCCGCCACATTTCCCAGCGTTCAGTGCTTCCAGCAATGCCTCCTCGTCTACAATTCCACCCCTGGCAACGTTAATTATCTTGACTCCTTTCTTGCACTTAGAAAATACTTCAGCATTTATCATATCTATAAAAAAAGAAAACAAAAGTTAGTATAAAAATTAAATCTAGTAGGGGAGATGTCTTTTTATGTGCTGGTATAAAAGACCAGCTATCTGGACTTATTTTGACAAAATAAAAGTTTTAAAAAATCAACTTGACATTGCACTATAATTTTCATTTGGGAAACTGATAATCTGAGCATCACTGGTGTGCTTAAAAAATCTAAAAATTTGCAAACAAAGTTATTCAAATTACACTTACTTTTTGTTTTTGGTATAAGGGGAGTATGCACAGTAATGTAATCAGCCAAGGGCCACAGCTCTTCTAGAGACATCCACTCCACCCCAAACTCTGCCACCACATCAGCTGGAATGATAGGGTCAAAACCTATCGTCTGCAAAATGAAAGAAAAATTAAGAATCACATTAAAAAACGATGAACATCATTGTTGTTATATTTATAACCAACATGTACACAATTAACTTCTGTAAGAAAAAATGTAACAGCTGATGATGCTTTCTCCAATTTCCTTAGAGTGAAATCTCCTACTTCTCTCAATACAATATAATAATAATAATAATAATAATAATAATAATAATAATAATAATCATTTGAAAAATATGTTTCCCCACAGATTACATTTTGACAAAATGTGAAATTTAAATAAAATAATTTAAATTATTCAAAATACACCATTATCTTTAACTAGCAAAAAACAACAAGAACAATCATTCCATAAGTAAAAAAAAGGGATATCAGCAACTGCATGTTAATCTTACCCTCATTCCAAAAGACTGCATCCTAGTGGCAACCTCCTTTCCAATTCTGCCTAAGCCCACAATGGCGAGGGTCTTGCCAAAAATTTCTGACCCCATAAATTTCTTCCTGTCCCAGCGCCCTGCTCTCAGAGAGTCGTTGGCTTGCGGAACTTGCCTGAAATAAGGTTGATCAGTTGAACTTAATAAGTTCCTTTTTATTCCATATATCTAATATCTATTCTATATCATGTTACTCTGAAAAATGGATATGGACCTGATTTTATTTATTTAAAGTTGCAAACAAAATCATACAATTTTGGAATTAAACACTCATATAAGGGCAGGGTAAATAATAACTTTAAAAAACTCTACTCTTGAGGGGCATGTATTTTTGTAAGCAATAGTTTGTAATATGCCTTTTTTCATGTTTTTAGGATAAGGAATCCACCTCTGTTATGTTAGCAATGTAAATATGAATGCCTTTACTACATTTCAAATAGAGTTTGGTTACACCAGTTAAAATGTTTTTTTTTTTTTTTTTGGAGATTTACCCTACACTACAGTTATATAAAAAAAAATCTTTCTTGAAAACAATATTTATTAAATCAATTTCATTCCTTTTTGGTGAATCAAATCTTTTATGTTAAGAGTTAAGTACTCACAGAGTATATCACACATGCAATGACAGCAGTACAAACACAATCACACATGCTCACAATCAAATACACACAAACACAGTGACACACACATATATACACATGTATACAAGCATGCACGCGCGCACACACACACACACAGGCATTATCTACCTGCTAAGGGCACAGACCATGGTACATGTTAGCTCTGCTGCACTCAGTGTATTACCCCCTGGCGTGCTGAAATACAGTGAAATATCAAAATCATTATTAATTAAATGCACCTAGTTGGGCAAATAGACAAGTGCTTAGACTACTTTATTCATATAGCTGAGTATGTAATTGAAACAGTTCTCACAGAATAAGATGTGCATTTTGTAGCAATATAACAAGATTATTATTAGTATTTTGGAACACTCCAAAGTTAATGTTTTTCTGTCAAAATAATAATAATAATAATAATAATAATAATAATAATAATAATAATAATATCATACAGCCTGATACAGGCCATGATTGCAATTTCCATTTAAAAAATTAGGCAATATAGGCCACACATATATCTTATATACTTACTTCATCACAATAATCCCCTTCTTGGTGGCAGCATCACAGTCAATATTATCCACCCCTGTGCCAGCGCGGCCGATAATCTTCAGCTTGCTGGCTGCAGCAATGACATCAGCAGTAACTTTTGTGGCTGACCGAACGATAAGACCATCATATTTCTAGAAATATAAGGGTGTAACATAGAGGCTGTGAAGTTGGCCACTAGTCCTATGCCCATGGCCAGTAATTTCTCTATTCAGACTAATAGATTTTTCAGAATGTGTGAATTTAGTTGTTTGACATGGCCATTAGATTTTTTATACAAGTTTTCAAAAGCACTTTTGATTTGTTAAAAAAAAATTTTAACATATTTGATTCTGAATAGTAATGAAAAAATAATTGAAAAAATCATGGTCTTGTTATATTACGTATAATATCGCAATAGGTAAATTCAATTTTTTTCAATTTTATTCCGAATTCCTGATTTTCTGCTCCAGACCAGTACAGGTAGATTTTAGGAAAATAGAGGTGCAAATGGCCATGCAGTAATAAGGGACTGTAAACTGTGTCAATGGCAGATTGTGGAAGGTGAGGGGAGAGAGGTTGAAGGGAGAGTTTACATAGCAGACATCATGATGGTCTTCATGCACTGCCCCCCCCCCCCCTCCCTCACCCAACCTCAGTTTTAAAAAAAGGAATCAATACATGTATAATTAGTCTCCTTCTGTATCAACTTTTTAATGTGTTTATATATATGCAGGAGCATTATGCAAAAAACAATTAATTAATCCACATACCCACATACCTCCCCCTCCCCCCCCAAATGCAACCCCTCTCTTTCGAGCAAAATTTAGATGCAAGTATATATATTACGATTTAATATAGCTAAGGGTAATATAAATTATATATTACACTGTATCATTATTCATAAATTTGACATACATCACAAATATAGAAAGTTTTAAATATCACTTGTCTCAGCTTCTCATAACTGATATATGGTCCCCCCCCTCCTCATCCCCTGCAAGTAGTGATCTTCCCCATAGCTTGACTTTAATTTTACTTAATTTTAATTTTCAATAAATAGGACCTGTAATGTTCTTAAAATGTATTAACTACTCCACCATTGCACCCTAAATATTCTGTTCTTACATGTGACTTAATTTATACTACCCCCCCCCCTCCCCCAATGCATGTCTGCCTTAATTTAATCAGTTAAATAAAAATTCCTACATAAACACTATGTACACGGGGAACATTGCATCAGCCACTCAGCTGCATTCTGTACAGGATTTGAATTTTATTTCAATTAAAGACCAGTTTAACTTCTGTGTTCAAGATATCAAGATTTTATTTCCTCAAAATGGCATTGAAAAAAAAAAAACGTCTTCCCATAAAATATTGATATGCCTAGGCAAAACAGTAATGATGTTTATTTACAGTACAGCTATATTATGATCATTGCTTTTACATTTCAAAGTATATGTAGAACTGGAGCAACTCATTTCGTCAACTCATCCTTATATTACATTTAAACAACTCATGCACAAATTTTCCAACGACATGTCCACGAAGTCCTCCCTGACATTTATCCACTGTCAGCTGTAACTGTTTACCAAGATAACAAACTAGGTCGGAAAACTACCCTAAGGAAGTCCCTCTTCAATATAAGCGCAAGATAAACCTAACACAATATGAAGTTTGTGATAATTATTAATTTTCAAAAAGCCCTTGAATTGCGCTAGAAAGAATGCAACGCAGTGATTTTCACCGGCCGGCAATACTTGATCACGTGGCGGTCGAGACGCAAAGTAAACAAAACTACTCACCGGGATTTCTTGAATGAGTTGCTCTTTTGTTAATTTAGTGTCCTTTACGACGTCAACCTCGTTTGCTTGAAGTATCTGGACGCATTTGGGATCAACCTCATCACTAATAAGCACTTTTTTAAGCGTAAGAGCCATTGTACTGTTCTAGTGAAGGAGAAAACCACTTTACTGGTTACGAGCTGATGAAATGTGCAAGGGAAGAGCCCATAGGGGTATTATATCCTCAAACTAGGTCACTTGCGGTGAAGGTCACGAGTACACGCACCCAATGCATGGATGGAAGAAAATACACCTGAACAGAGGGGTGACATAAGAGACTGAATAAAGGGGGGGGGGGGGGGGGGGGGGGGGAGTGAGAAAGAGTGAGTGAGGGAGAGAGAGCGAGCGAGAAAGAGTGTGTGAGAGAGACAAAGTAAGAGAGAGATAATAACACTTGCACAAATTTTCATCCTACTGTACAATTAACAATTTATACATAAGAAAAATTAGATTATTGAAGAGTTTCTTAAAGAATACTTAGCACAGACTTTAACGTTTCCAAGCTCTCTTGGGACTCACCGCACTACGTCTGCCAGAAATGACAGAAGCATGCTGATAAAAGTGACGAGTTTTCAGGGGCCCTGAAACTTTGGGTGGGTACAGACAAACAATATGTGTAAACAGCGGTCATTAAAATGAAGATCCATAAAAATAAAGCACAATGCTTGCCTCAAACCAAAAGCGCTAAAAATGCCACGAAAACATTTACATGGAAAAAATTATAGCGGTATTGATCATGCATTCGCTTTATTGATTTTTTTGTAATAAATATTTTAACAACAAGAAGACATCAAAAATGAAAAAATCACTAATGGTTTTTGTAAGTTTCTTTTTTTTTTTAATTCTGGCTGCTTACACTGGCAAGTAAATTTCTAGTCTGTGTGTTACAGTTGTTACTGCATCACCAACAGACGAGCAAAATATCACACAGAGTCACTGATAGACTAGATAATTAATTAATTAATTTGGAGGTTTAACCCACAATGAGTATAAGAAAACTGTCTGTCCCCACAAAAAATCATGAAAAAAAATCAACTTTTTAACAATTTATATAATTGTAGCACCAAATACACTAGTAAATGATGATATTAAATAAATAATTATTGATTGCACTTAAGTTACAGTACCAGTAAATTTGAAGACCAATAAATACTAAAAAACTAAACCCTGAAATGGTAATGAAGCCAATGCCTTGCTTCCCTATAGATTTGAAGTCAAGTGTAATAAGTCTACTAGTACATCAACATAAGATAAATGTCTTAAACATATTCTACGCTGATTAACTTTTCATTGAAAACATTCCCTAAATTGATCTGATATGAAAACTGACAAAAGCCCTTGACTTCACTAGACTCCACATGTAAAGCAGTAAGGTGTTTATCACAATTATGTTTACTAAGCATTCACAATATCACAGACTATGTAGGACTTCTTCTATATGGAGAGCATTGTCCCATGGGTGTATGCTTGCCTCTAAGGGCATTGGCACATCTTCTTGTCCATTAGACTCCTTAATTGCTTCAATCTTTTTCAACAATCTGAATCCACGCCTGGGAAAAATTAGGTCATCCTGGCCTAATTTTAAACAGGCACAGAGATCATTGCTTCCGTCGCCAATATAGGCAATCTTCTGGTACTGAATACCATTTGATTTCTGCTTAGCAATATGTGTTTCCAGAATGTGTCCCTTGCAGAGGTTGATTGTGCTGAGGTCGCACCAGTCTTGAGTGTGGTAATTATTAATCCTGAGGCAGCCATTGCAGTCAAACTCTGCCGGATTCGTGTAGACTTCATCCACGTACTGTTTCAGGTCACTGGCCTCAAGAATGGTATCGATGAAAATGGAATTAGAATCCGATATGATGATAACTTCAAATCTGTCACTGGTGCCCAGGTATTTGATCAGCTCTGTCATACCCTGGGTGAACTCTATCTCATGCATGCATTTGTGAATTTGGGCTGCTAGGACTCCTTGCTTATGCAAGTCCTCAAAGATGGCGCCCATGTAGCGCGTCCAGTTTTTGTTGCTGTACATGCTCTTGGTGTCTTCCGGGACTTCTCCATTGGGCAGCAGCTTTGTCACATGTGTGTCACTGTTGTCGTCGATGATTGTGTGATCAAAATCAAGGGAGACTAGAATTTTTTTCTCCGTCATGACCTGAAACATTGTAGTACTGTTAGTGTAAATGAATTGCAAGTGATCATTAATAAATACATCTTTAGAAAATCCTCAGCAGTTTTAAGTTTTAAGTGTTTTAAGAAAATATATATATTGGTGCAAACAGTATCAACATTTTGTAAAAAAAAACAAATAAATCAATTTTTCAACGATATGTCCATGGTATCATTAAAATTTATTTATTTAATTTGCCTGACTGAGTTTTTACTCATTTTTATTCATTAAGAAATAAAATGAAACTTGGCGAGTCACAAGAATGAGACCGATTTCATAAATATTTGCTGTCAAAATCGAAATTGAGAACTATATATATCAATATAAATAATTGGAATATTATTTCAAACCATTTCTAGTCTATGATATCAACTTTCGACGTTGTGTATTCGTTATGTGTGCAGCATAGACTAGCAATCTGCCGGCTGTTGAGCGTAAAATTACTAAAATTGCCCAACCGAGATTTATCAATATCTGAATATATCAAAGATAATGCATACTGCATGCATATCTGCTTACCTAATTCCTCCAGAATTATTACAATCTGATGTGGGACAAATGGCCAGATTTCCACATTTTCTGCAAGAAAAATGTCAAAATATCAAATATTCTTATGACCTTGACATTGGTTCTCTTATTTATTTCTAGAAAAGAGGGCGCTAAGACACAACTCTTCAAAATCATATAAAATTTTAGCGCCACCTATCAAAAATACGCAGCTTGTGACGTCAGAGTGTTGTAGTGACAAGAGTTTGCTTGGCAACCATTGAAGTGGGTTATGTGGTAGATGAAGGCTGATTGCAACGGAATTACACAGTTAAATACAACATTAACTAGAAAAATAGAATAAACAAATCAATTAGTAATTGTCTTTGGTACTAAGCGGCTAAAATGGCAGCGACAGTATTGCATGGAAGAAGAAAAGGACAAGCAAGAGGTGAGTACCACAAGGCCTCAGTCTCATAATGTCATCTCATACACTAGTAATACCTCGAACATATACACACTGTACGTGTAATTTGTGATGTACTGTAATAAGTTATAGTACTTGTATGTAATGTGTTATGTTGTAGTGTGGGTCTGGCGGACTTTGATCTAATGATACAGTTTTAACAATAGTAAACTGTCATAAAATTATTGAGTTTTAGACGGTATGAGTGTACCAGTATCTCTGGAACAGTGGAAGTTTATCAAATATACTTCACATACACTACATATACTAACTAGTGCTAACGTTCAATATTTGCCACACTTTTCGACCCTACATGCTGTGATGGAAACTGCGAATGCTATTCTAGAATGTGGCACCACTTACAAATACTGAGTACAGGGTAACATGTATAAGTAAAGCATAAGTGTCGCTGGGAAAAAGGACTACAATATTATCAAACTATTGATGAACAGATGCAAAACCTTTAACTGCTAATTATATACTCAATATGCAAAAGATTATTATTATTATTATTATTATTATTATTATTATTATGAGTGAAATTATTGTTTTATCTTTCAGCTGACTCTGCTCCTGGGAGTTTGCAGCAGCCCATGATGACACTGCCTGATGGCACTGACCTACGACAGGTCACTGTCCTCACTCAGGGAGACTGGGGTAGGATTAACATGCAATTAAACAGAGGCCAAATTGAGGCTGAGGAGAGGAGAAGGCGGAGAGAGGAGAAAGAAGCCGTGAAGAAGATGTCCAAGGACAAAGTAAAAAATTGGACAAATACAATTGCTGTAAGTTGAAGCTCTTTTCTTTGAGGAAATATATTCTATTTGTATAAAAATTTGTGTAATTAAATATCTTGGATATTAAAGCCTCAATTCTAAAATGCAGTAGTTTTTTAATGACCAATTATCCATAATTTTAAATATAAGAGAATAAAGCATGTAGTTATATATTTTTGTCATAAATTATTTTTTTAGAAAATGTCATGATATATTTACATACAAAAGCAATTTTAGAAAAAAAATTAAAGACATTTCTGATGGGTGTACATGCATTCTTGTTTATTTTATCTAACAGGGTCACAGACAGAAGAGACTTAAGGCAAGGAAAATAAGAGAAGAAAAGGAAGAGGCAGAGAGAAAACAGGTTGATCTGGAAGAAGCTCAGTTTCAGGCTCAGAAGAGAAAAGAAGCTATTGAAAAGGCAAAGACCCTGCAGTATTACCAGACAGACAGAGTGAAGGGATTCCATGTAAGAGCAGCAAAGTTTACTGACATTATACATAAAATGTGATTTTCAATGAAGTGAAATAGGAATCTGTTCAAAGTTTAAAAAGAAAATAAAACAATGCCATATATTTTTAAAACCCAAAAGCTTGAACTGAAAAACCAGTACTAACATGTTTAGAAAATGCATAAAGCAATATAAGATTAAGTAGGTAGGGATGTCAGCTATTTTTATGCCTTAATTCAACTTCAAAGGCCCATTTAACTTGAGTAGAGTTGGTTTTCAAGATAAACAATGAAATAGATTTCAGAGCAGTACATGTAATTTGAAGATACACTTGAGTGCCTTTATTTGTATGCCCAGTAAAATTACAATCATTTCATTTTCTACCCTCAGAGTGCGCTGATGTTCACAGAAGTCCTGAAAGAAAGAGAGGCCCAACTTGAGTTAAAACGGCTGAAGGAGAAGGCATACGAGGGCAAGGACAATGATTGGCTGGACAAACAGAGAAAAGACTATGAAGATGGTATCCGTGACGACCAGAGGAAAGCGCTTCAGAGACTGCAAGAAAGAGAGGAGGTGGCAGAGTTTCAGAAAGCACAGTGAGTTCTTATTGACAGTTTTATAATGGTGTCTGTTCAGGATTGCTGTGCTGTGTATTTATCTGGTAATACATGTAACGTATATATAAAAAACTGCACTTTTTGTCTGGAAAATGCCCACTCTGCATCAAAATTGAAAAAATAAATAAATAATTGAATATGTTTAGAAAATACATAAAGCAATAAGGAATTACTAGTAGGTAGGGGTGTCCACTGTTTGTATGCACTTATTTAAATTCAAAGCCCCATTTAAGTTAAGCAAAGTTGGCTTTCAAGATAAACAAAAACAAAATAAAAAAAAAAGAAAACCCACAATTGAAATTGCTGACTGCATGCCAAAGGCAAGCATTTCATATCCAAGTCGGCTGAGGTGTCATTGTATCTCTTGAGCATCTTTTGTTTCTTTTCCAGAATACGAGAGCATATAAAGGATCGCCTGATCGCCATGGAGGATGACAAGAAGGAGGGCGAGGACCTGAAGAAGCTAGCAATCCAGTACCACCTGGAGAAGAAACGGCTGGAGGACATCAGGAGAGATGAACAGAAGCAGAACATGCAGCAGAATGTGAAGAGGATAGAGGATGTGAAGAAAATGAGGGAAATACAACAGGAGATTGAAGAGGTAGGTGGTGAAGATGGAGTGAATGATATTATATGGATTTTTGGTGTGCTGCTCTCTCTCCCCTCCCCTCCCCTCCATTCTCCCGAATTGGAAATAGAAAATGCCTTTAGGCTAAAAGATATTAGCATTATCTGATCATCTTCTCCCCCCTATTATTTAACACACACACACACACACACACTTGTAATAAAATATGTAGAATTAACCTCTTTTTTCATTGATGATTATATGAAGGCCAGGCAAAATTCTCAAAGCCTAAAAATTGTGTTTGTATTATGCTTTCTAGTCTTTGTGAAATTGACCCCTTTTTTCAAAATGAATAGAAACAACAACAACAACAAAAAATTAATTCAAAAACGCACACGCACACTCTCACACACAAATGTGGTAGATGTGATTATCTGTTCCAGTGCTGTTTATATATTTCATGTAAATTTTTCAATTCAGGAAGAAGATGAGGAGTGCAGGATCTTTGCTGCTGCTAAAAGGAAAATGATGAAGCTGCGAGTTGAAAAAGAAAAGCTTCTCCATAAGTAAGAAAATTTAATCATTTATTTACTTTACAAATGTATGAAAAAAATGTACATTTGCGGTGATAAACCTTTTTTATTTATATAATTGGCCTCTTTACACTTTTAAAAACAGCCCCAAGAAGCAAAATGAAGAAATAACGGGAATTTGAAGTTTTAATTTTTTCAACAAAAACATACCTTATTACTGTATATTAATGGAAAAAAATAATGCATTTACAGTAGCATCATAAGTACTCAAAATGATTGTTCATACCAACCACATATTAGCTGATATATTATCTACATGTTCTTTGTAAGGCCATTGACAAGGCATGGGACCTTATAAATATTACTACACAACCTGTTTATCGGATAAACAAGAAAACCAACCATGAAGATATGTATAATCATATTTCAAATCAATTTTTCCTCTCAGTGAGAAGCAAGAGAGACTGGAGAAGATTCGTGACCGTCTGGCAGCCCAGATGAAACAGAAGGTCGATGACGAGGATCAGAGGATTCGTAAAGCCACTGAGGAGAGAGAGGCCAAGATTGCAAAGGAGGATGCCGAGAAGGATGCCAAGAATAGGAGGATGCTTTCCGAGATGGCTGAACACAGATACCAGCAGGTTTGTGGATGTATTTATATTGTTCATGAAATAAAGCAACACTAATTATTTCCTGAAGTTAATAGCAGTCACATTATTGGCCCCTAATAGAATATTGATTATTATTATTTTCTTTATGTATATAATTGCCAGCATTATTTCATTATATTCTTATATTTCTGTTATATTCTGGGTTATAAAAATATGTAGAGTGTGGCTTAGATTTTTTTTAATAGTTTAGTGAAATGAAACTGATTTATGTCCATAAGCTTTTGTCATTTTTAAATTCATCAATTAAAATACTGAGTTTGAAGCCTTGAGTAAATTTTTACAGTCATTCTGGAGTTATCTTAGAGACCTGATAAATAATTGGGAAATAAATATAAAAGAAAAGACTCATAACAACATATTTTGATTGTTATTTTGTTTATTTATTATTACCAGCATTATTTTATTTTGAGTTCCTTCAGGTATAACGTGAATTATTAGAGAAAAAAACTGACCCTAAACAATGTAACAAACTGTGTTTTAGATGAGAGAGAAAGAAGAAAAGGAGGCAGCAGAGAGAGCCAGGGAGATGGAAATGCTACAGATCCGCAAGGAGGCAGACAAATTGTTCCAGAGAAACGAGGAAATGAAACACAGCAGAAAGTTTGATGAAAATAAACACCTAGCAGACTTCCATCTCATGCAAGCTGTAAGTTGTACTTAACATTAAAAAAAAAAAAATATATATATATATATATATATATATATATATATATATATATATATATATTTATATATATATATATATTTTTTTTTCATTTATTTACTTATTTATTTATTTTTGTTAGATTTATTTTTAGATTTTAAGTTTGAGTTTATTAAGTCTTAATCTTTTTTGTATATATATTTTATTTATTTTATGAATATTTAACAGTCTGGAAATATTTTTACAAAATTGACAAAAAATATCCATTTAATGAAATTAAATAGACTACCCATAAATAGTAAGCAGTGACAGTTGTTGAAAAAATATGCAGTTTCGATTCAAAACAATATTCATTAATTACCTGCAGTACCCTTGACATCAAATCAAACAGTTCCCTGATTTAAAATAAATAACACCATGCACTTAAATTTCATAATCTCACACTTCTAGGGCCAGCGCAAACTTAAAGAAGACGAGGTGAAGGTGGAACAGCTCCAGCAAGACGCCAAAAACATGGAACTGCTGAAGCTGGAGGAGGACCAGTTCCAGGAATACGCCGGGAAGGTGATCGACCACTGCCTCCAGGGGGGACGCAACGTGTACCCTCTCCGCAAGGCGGCCCGGCCCGGCGCCGGCGGGGGACTGGGGCCCATCTTCGAGGGGAAGGGCGGCATCCGCCCCAGTTACATGGCGATGGATCACAGCGGTGTCCAGCTGCCCAACTACCAACGAGGGACAACCGAGGAGGTGAAGAAGAATATATACGGAGATGGACGGACCAACAAGAGACTCGGTTTCGTGTGGAGATAAACACTTGACACGATTTTGTTGCCTTTTTGAAAAATGTTTTTTCAACCATTTGGAGTCTAGGGGGTTTAAGGGACTTGATTGAGAATTTAAGGAGAAAACACTCCAGTATTTTATTTATACCAGTTTTATTGTATTGCAGCATCTCTGAAGGCAAATATCTCAATTCATCAATGTCGCATAGCTGAGTTAAATATCAGTATGTTACTGACCCATATATAAACGCACTGTCATGTGAGTAAACTAACATTAGCATAATGGTCATTGTTCCTTGCGTGGTTTCCGTTGAAATTCTGAGTCAGCCGCTTCTTTGTCCATATTAGCCCAGTCTGTGGAAAGTTTGACAAAAATGTTTCGTAAAGAGTGGGTGTAAACCTATGTCTTGCAAATACTGCTTTTTCGTTTGTCAAGCAAAAACTGACTTTGTATATCTTTGTACATTTCCAAATCTTGGGTCAGAATTTGCCAAAACTGATGTCAGTACACACAGTGAGTGACGATGTTGGCTGAAATGCCAGTGCTGCCAATAAAATTTATTAAAACATGTAAATATTGCACGTGTAAATTTACAGCCTGTACATATTACGTAAGAGTAAATAAAGTATGAATGGCATTTAATTTTTTGTCACCTGTTTAAGTTACAACGGTAAAATGGTTAATGATTTAAAATAATTTTAAATGTTATGATATTCAGAGGTTTGGCTGTATAACAGAAAAAAACTGAATAGCTAAAGAAAATGGAACGAATGTTAGTAAAAAGAACAAAAGTAATCTCCTTGACTGATAAAATTCAATTAAAATGTTTTGCATTGTCATTTATTTATTTATTTATGCCGAATCTCGTCCGTCTTCATTGTGTTCCACCAACTCCAGACTATACCGTTTTGTTACGGCGTAACTTGGCTCGTCAATAATGAATTCTTGTAACACCGTGTCGCCCATCATCAGCTTTTCTTTCACGCCCGATCCATTGGCGACCCCCTCTCTGTAAACGAACGGCACGACGTTCTCCAGTTCCTTGCAGGGAATCTGTATTGCGTATTGTCTATGCAGTTGTTTTAGGCACCCTGTACTGTCATAAAACAACTTAAGATAGGCAAAAGAATCGCGAGGGGCGTTGAGAAAGATGTTACCAAACGGACGCCTATGAAGAGGAAACAGGACTCTTTTTTCGAATCTCCTGTAGAGTTTGCTGGAGCTGGGAACTGTGTTTCCGCTTAAATTCCGAGGAATATCCCAAATGTGTGTTTGGTTTTCCGCGTACAGGAATATGTCGACTGCTGGCCATTTCCACTCGTCCACCGTGATATTTGACCACTTGTAATAGACCTTCAGTAACCCCGGGTAGCGGGTGTGGAGCGGGGTATGAACAACATAGTCTGGAGCATGTTTTGAAAATGCCTCCGTCAGTTTTGCCTTACCGCGGACGCTGCAATGAATGTCGGCATCAACATCCCATGGAATCATACCATGGTGTCTGTATGACCCGAGCAAGGTGCCCGCAGACATGAAATAGGTGATATTGTTCTCCCTGCATACCCTGTCTATGGTACCTAGTATATTTGTAAAGATTTCTTTATCTTCAGCCGTGAGTTCCGATTGGAAAAAGGACAAAAGTACACCGGGGTTGTAATGTCTCCCTGCTCCGCCGGGTTTCAGCGGGTAAGACGGGAGGGTAGGGAATGGTCTGATTGCCCCTGGGTCGAGAACGGTGTCTGTGTCGTGAGAATAATGATGCTTTCCTATTTGGGATGTCCTTGGCAAAGATTTATCTTCGGATCCCAATTGGCGGGCATTGGGTGGCAATGAAGCTCCTTTTTTCAGCTTCGTTGGGATTTTATCAGGAACACTGCCTTTACACACTGGCGATCTGTCGCCTATAATCTTCAAAACTGTCATCACGATCAGCATCGAACATCCAACAATCAAAATGGATGAGAACTGCCTAAAAACGCGTCGGCAGCGTGGTGACGCCATCTGTGCGACAACAGGGAGTCTGAAAAAAGATTTAAAGACGTTTTTTAACATGATCATACTGTCGTAGCTTTTAAAATGCCATGAAGGTGAATTCCAAGTTAATCACATGCGCAGACAACCAAATTGAGCTTACCTAGGATACTACTCAGGCAGCTCATTCCTCATCTTATCAACAAGATAATTAATTATCAAACCAAATCAATTATCATTACCTTAAATTACCTCTGAATTCACTGATTAATTAGCCACATTCTCATTATTAATCAATTAACTAATTGATAAATAAATTCATTAGTCACCACCAAAATCTAGCCAATTTTTGACCATTCCTTAACAGTTCATCAAAATCTCTCCATGGCGTTTTTAATTAAGTTACTTACAGTCGACCAAACTTTATCTATATACTAATGATATACTAATTCCTTAATAAGCGGGATATCACCAAAATCACTAAAATATTTTCTAATTTGTTGTTTAAAGACAAACTGTCAAAAGTAAAATGTATACAGTGAAGTTCGGTTCTTATACACCACACTCCATTATACTCATTTCAGTGAGGTTTCCAATGGAGGCCTGGTCATTTGTGGTCAAGTTACACACTTGTTGCCTCACCTGCTGCCGTTAGATGCGCTCAAAGCTAACAAAGGAGCATTATTTTTTGATATTATAACAGGAACTTTATCCCTGTTTCAACCCCTAAGTGCCGAGATATGAATGTTTTCGTAGTAATCATCGATACACATTATGGTTCTAGCTCATTTTCAGTATTTTAAGTTGTTAACTGAACACAAACATTCAACGATGACAATATTCTATATGAATTGATCATGGGTCTTAATACGGGTAGCTTCTTCAATTATTTCTATTATTCCTTAATAGGGCCAACGTCACTAAGAGGCAGGTACTAGATCATACTGGTTTTCAGAAGGTACCTGATCTTTTAACATACAAAGCCGCCCTGTAAATATGGAATAACATTAAAACGGTTTGCAACTTATGGCGCAAAGGTCAGCATATCAATGAATTTTGAGAAAAAAAATGATGATGGTTTTTAGAGAAATCCTCTTTTAAATCAAAATAAAGCTACTCAGTCAATTTAGAGTAAAACGGACATACACTTTGGCAGTTGAACGGTCCGATTGGTCCTGTTGGCGACAGCATCGAAACGGGCAGACTAAGTAATCAGAATATGTACATACGCCAACGGTGTCTGAAAGTTCACCAGGCCAATTTATTATAAAGCCATATATATTATAAATGACGGACATTTAGTGTTGCTATTAAGCCAAATAATAAACAGCACAGCGTCATTATTCTGCTTGCCAGGAAAGTAAATTGAGGTTAAACGCTACAAAAAATTATTATTATATCGGTCATGTTCTGTGCCTATCTAATTTACTCTTGAAGTTGGTTAATGTAGTTCTTAGTGGTCTAGTTCGTGAAAATAAGACTTCTGTCTAATATGCATATTGACATATTTCGACACTTCTTCACAGATCGCTTTTCATGTGCATGGATTTGCAGGATTCGTATGGGTCCTCAGTAACACCTTTGAATAGTTTCTGTTGGAATTTCTATTCATGACCGACCACACTTAGGAAATTACTATGCAGCAAAGGAACGAAAATTCTGTGCGCCGAATGTTTTTGATAGGCAGCCAGCGGTATACCGTATACATGTAGCTCCCTGTAATTGACTTGTACCAAGTTGCTCTTTCCCGAACAATCGGATTGGAAATATAGGGCAAGATGACAAATTGTAGAATTTTATCTTTGTTTGACAAGCTCCACTTCCAAATCTCTTTTGTCTTATCGACCGACTCACTACACTTCCACATTCTAATGAATTGTGCATCTCCAATTTAAGTATAATATAAATCCTAGCGTTAATAACACACGTATAATTAGTGAGTTAAAAGGTAAGAAAAGGACCTACACTTATTATAACTGCTTCAGTTTGTTAAAATAGTATCGTATGAAAAAATGACCTAACCCAGACAAACGCAAGGGGTTCGTTAGTCTGACAAACAAATTTTTCAACATGTTTAAAACAATCGCACAAAGGACGCGGTGGAGGTGGGTCACTGCAAGGTTGCTTATCAAGCGAAACAGAAAAGAGGCACAAGCATAGCTGTGGTCGCATAAAGGAGGCGAAAATGCTGTATTGTGAATGCTAAATAATCGGCCAGTGGTCTGCACATAAAGGATAATTTATTATACCTCCAAAAGGAATTTTTCAACAGAGGCAATGTGGTCTCATACAAGCCTCCAGTATTGCTTATTTTTTCTAAATTCTTGAACCGACTCATTTCAAAAGTAATTATAGATAGAACGAATATACTGTCGTTTTTCAAGGTGCAATTCTTGCTGATAATCCCACCAAAAAATTGCGCTTTTTGATGAAAAGACATGAAGTATGACGTGCATGGCGCCATGCCGGTTTAGGTATTGATTCAATTCAAGTTTAATCTGTGGAGTAGCTGGTGAGAAATAGAGATCAATGGTCAATTATTCTAAACTATACCGTTTTAAGGTAATTTGCCTAATGCAAAAGGTAATTTGTCGGGCCCAGGAGAGACTGAATTCGTTTTTCGCGCCTTCCTGATTCCGGGCCAGGTGGTAGTCGTGACGGACTGACATGCGACATTTGGGAATCGAACTCGTGACTTTCCGTTGTCATGGTCCATGACTGGCCTTGAACGTTTTTTTTTTTTTTGCGGGCGTGCACGCTACCGACTGCGCCGTAACAGACCCGCTCACCTACCTTGAGTACGAGTTACTTCTTATAGTAATGAAACGCAAATTTTAGAAATCATTACATGAAAAAATAATTCTCCACTGAACAGTCTGGAAGTCGAGCCCAAGAACAAGTGCCTATCTATGTCCATGCCAATGGAATTACCACGGAGCAACGGAGGCTTCGTTGGCAGACGTTGGATCAAGCAGTACATTTCCTTACGTACCGACGTAAACATGTTTTTTATTCCGCGCAAAGCCAGTGCCCGAAACTTGGTCTTAAATTCATCTACGTTGAATACATGATGTACACGAGGCCTTGATTGAGAAGCCAACACGTAACATTCCCGGACAGATTACTTTTTTACTGCGACTTTGTTTTATGCTGAGTATTAGTTTGACTTCACCTATGACGTTACAGAGCACAAAGGAATCAAATGCGGTCCACGTCGGGGCGGTTTTGGTTTATGCAAACCCGTAGGAAAAGAAAATCATTAAAAAACGTGCAAATGTGTAAAAGCTGGTGAGATTTCCATTCAAGCTATTGTGACGATGCAAATTTTGGAGAAAACATATTGGGCAAGTTATTCCGCAGAGAAGACACGCTGTTGAAAGCGTTTCACAGGTGGTGTGACGTGGTGCTATGCCGGAAAGCTAAGAATCAATACAAGTTTGGTCACTTTTATTAATAAGCCTGCGCGGGACGGTCCTAGCCAGAGAGTTCAGTTGCTTTTATTTTCATTTTGATTTACACTGAGATTACGTTAGTCTTCACCTGTGACATTACAGAGCACTGCGAGAGCCAAAACTTCACACCTTGGCGGTTGAAGTTTTGAGCAGTCTTTGCCAGTTCATGAGTGGACTGTGGAGTTGCCCCGGGTACTGTATGACTGGGTTCCCACAGATTTAGATCGATCCATCTGGATCGACCAAACTCCCTTGGGGTTAANTTATTATACCTCCAAAAGGAATTTTTCAACAGAGGCAATGTGGTCTCATACAAGCCTCCAGTATTGCTTATTTTTTCTAAATTCTTGAACCGACTCATTTCAAAAGTAATTATAGATAGAACGAATATACTGTCGTTTTTCAAGGTGCAATTCTTGCTGATAATCCCACCAAAAAATTGCGCTTTTTGATGAAAAGACATGAAGTATGACGTGCATGGCGCCATGCCGGTTTAGGTATTGATTCAATTCAAGTTTAATCTGTGGAGTAGCTGGTGAGAAATAGAGATCAATGGTCAATTATTCTAAACTATACCGTTTTAATATGCAAAAGGTAATTTGTCGGGCCCAGGAGAGACTGAATTCGTTTTTCGCGCCTTCCTGATTCCGGGCCAGGTGGTAGTCGTGACGGACTGACATGCGACATTTGGGAATCGAACTCGTGACTTTCCGTTGTCATGGTCCATGATGGCCTTGAACGTTTTTTTTTTTTTGCGGGCGTGCACGCTACCGACTGCGCCGTAACAGACCCGCTCACCTACCTTGAGTACGAGTTACTTCTTATAGTAATGAAACGCAAATTTTAGAAATCATTACATGAAAAAATAATTCTCCACTGAACAGTCTGGAAGTCGAGCCCAAGAACAAGTGCCTATCTATGTCCATGCCAATGGAATTACCACGGAGCAACGGAGGCTTCGTTGGCAGACGTTGGATCAAGCAGTACATTTCCTTACGTACCGACGTAAACATGTTTTTTATTCCGCGCAAAGCCCGAAACTTGGTCTTAAATTCATCTACGTTGAATACATGATGTACACGAGGCCTTGATTGAGAAGCCAACACGTAACATTCCCGGACAGATTACTTTTTTACTGCGACTTTGTTTTATGCTGAGTATTAGTTTGACTTCACCTATGACGTTACAGAGCACAAAGGAATCAAATGCGGTCCACGTCGGGGCGGTTTTGGTTTATGCAAACCCCTAGGAAAAGAAAATCATTAAAAAACGTGCAAATGTGTAAAACTTAAAGCTGGTGAGATTTCCATTCAAGCTATTGTGACGATGCAAATTTTGGAGAAAACATATTGGGCAAGTTATTCCGCAGAGAAGACACGCTGTTGAAAGCGTTTCACAGGTGGTGTGACGTGGTGCTATGCCGGAAAGCTAAGAATCAATACAAGTTTGGTCACTTTTATTAATAAGCCTGCGCGGGACGGTCCTAGCCAGAGAGTTCAGTTGCTTTTATTTTCATTTTGATTTACACTGAGATTACGTTAGTCTTCACCTGTGACATTACAGAGCACTGCGAGAGCCAAAACTTCACACCTTGGCGGTTGAAGTTTTGAGCAGTCTTTGCCAGTTCATGAGTGGACTGTGGAGTTGCCCCGGGTACTGTATGACTGGGTTCCCACAGATTTAGATCGATCCATCTGGATCGACCAAACTCCCTTGGGGTTAATGCTTAAAGATACATACAAAGTCAATTTTTTGTCACAAAAACCAACCAAATGCCAGCATATAGTTTCAAGTAGTATAACTATGAGAATTACCAAAAGGCATTGTTTAATTTTACCCGAAAATGATGTTTGAACAGATTTTTCTGCTGGCTAAGCTGTATGTCAATGGGGCAGGAAAGTAGGTCACGGAAGTAGGTTAAATTTACAACCATAAATTTAAAGAAAGGAGCAGTCTAAAGGTCTTTTATGGCTGATCGAGTGATCTATTCAGTTTATCCCTTGGCATGCCAAATTTATTTGAGTCATATAAGAATCTAGTAGAAGTGGTTTACATGTGTTGCTGGGAATCCACAATCCACCGATGCTCGGTTCGTATGTACCTTTAATTGCTGTCGGCTTCCGGGAGCCTAGCCCGCACAAAAGTTAATTACCCCCTTGCAGCTTTTAGTAGGCGGGACAGACATTTAAGCCGGTTAAGCTGACAGCAATCTGTGGGAATGGTCTCTATGCGAGTAAATCCCCAGTTATGGAATAGAGACGCTTGCGCTCGGTCGGAATTCGCAATGCTTTCGAGTTACGGAGCTCTGGAGTTTCGTCTCTTATGTTCCATGACCCTACACACACTGGACAATAGAAGTGTTACCCCTACTGAGCCATTCTTTGGGGGGAGATAAATGACTGTGGAATGATATGCTCCTGGTATCATTTTATTAACATCAAAATTCACAAAAGAAACGGTTCTGACTGAACTAGTCAGCTGTATCGATATTCTAACATTGCTTATATTCCGCCTCTTCAGGTTAATAACCTTAAAGGACAATAGTCTTATTAACGTCCATTTCTCGAATTCTGAAGATCCAGCACTTAATCTATACACTACAGTTATGTTTTAATCGATCCCCGCCATTTAAAAATTATAAAAACAATTTATAAGTAGACAAAAAGCGTTTAAGTAAACCTCACCTCAATATGCATAAATGAAGCAACAGATCTGGGTCACGTGGTACTGTGACGACAATGAGGATAAAGGTCTATGAGACTCAACTGAGCTGCATGGCGCAAACAGACAGAAGTTTAGGAAAGTTATGTTGAACGGAGTTCAGCAATTTTCATTATGCCTTAGTGTGTTGCCGTGGGATTCACCAAAATTAAAGCAATCGTTGACAATCTTTTCTTTGTCTGTGACGGTCTTCCTTGACTTACTAACTAACTACGGTGACAATAGTTGCGATGCTCGAGATCATGGTCACCTCAGGTGGTTTAGATCATATCAAAAGCTGATAGTCTTTCAGATTAACTGCCATCAGTTGGCAAACTTACTGATTGCTGATGCATTGTAGTTGACCAAGAGCTCGTTTACAATAGAACCTGTTAATTATGCACCGCTGCACTTCCCAACCTAGGTAATAACAGGTATCAAAATCGTCTGATGAGCCGTAGGGCTAAAATTTTTAATAAATTGAAAAATCAAAATCGTCTTGGTGGACTTTCATATTTTTCAATATATCTTTATCGTTCAATATATCTATACCGTTAAATGTCAATATTTAAACAATTGAATTCAAACACCGTCGCAAACATTAATAAAAGTAATTGCTCTCAGGGTATCTTGAAGCATGCGTATGCCCAGGCATTACTTCCGTGGAAGAAAACGTGTTGAGGAAAAACAGGAAAAAGAGCGGTATATTAAAGAAAAAAATGGTAACTTCTGTTATAAAATGGTTCGTAATCCTAATTCGTTTATGCTTTGAGTATTTGTTTCTGGAGGTTATTTCATCTCAAATATTAAATAATTTAAAAGATTTATCATTTTATAACTTGAAAAGCAAGTTCTGCGTCTGTACGCAAAACTTTTTGCAAATTTGTAAGCTTTATCAAACCCAAAAACATGTAGCAGATCAAGGTAAAAGAGCATTGTTTGCTATTAGTAACATGGAAAATCATTACTTGAATGTTTACTAAATGTGTAGTTTTACGTACGTTAGTGTAAAAATTTAAAAATTCCAAGCACGTACAGCAAAATGTAGACTAACGCAAAATATCAAGGACAGCACATGTACCACATAAAGTAGCTTAATTTCCATTTATAATAAAATCGTCATTTAAGTTAAAAATATTCTGGCGATTTAATAAATATTCTTATTTACCCAGAACGGTATATTAATTTTAAAGGAGGCTATCTGAAATATAGTTTTATTAACTGTTTGTGAAAATTGCCCATGTCACCCTGTTATTTTGGAGGTCTAAGCTGGATCAAGCCCGTGTTAATATTCCTATGAAGCAGTGCAGGAAAAATTCGTTCGTTTGTTTCTCTAGCTCCTCAATAAACCTGGTGTTCAGATTTTATCTAGTACCCCCTGGTCTACGGGAGCCGCTCTTTGAACTAACGCACAGGTAGATTTTCACCTGAGATAAATACTGCCAGCGAGAGTGCAAGACAAAGGCTACTGTAACAGGAGAACTGAATGTCATTTAACCCTCTAATTAAGAAGTAAAGGATGTTCCAGTTAGATGGATGATCAAGCTGGACTTGGCAACAGGCATTGTTTACCTCAGTTTAATAAAAGTATGCAAGACGGGGTGTCAGCGTAATAAAATAAATTGAATTTCACAAAGAACATGGAGTTCATATTGAATAATCAACAGTGCCCTTAAGTCATTCAAATCACGGCTTCACGAGTATTCAGACCCCTCGGGTAAGAGATTTGAATAAGTATAGCCTTTTAACAGAAGCCAGAAAAGTCATCTTACAGGTAGACAATGCAGCTGAGTTTGACAGCTCCGCCGGTGGCTCGATTGTCGTCATCGGACCACGTGCCCATGTAGCTCATTAACTCGCAGGCCAAGCAGAAAGGACGTTTTTTTAGAGTCCAAAATTTACAAAATGAGCTTTTACTTCGTGTATTTAGATAAAGATATCGTTAGTTGGGCATGTTTTCTGAAGAATATGTTCCACACAGGCCATTCTGACGTCATGACCATTGTTCTTTAAATACTCTGATTTAGGGGGTGTCACTTCTATTGTCCACTGTGTGCCAATTTCAGTGTACTTTCTGTCTCTCCGGTGTGACCATTGTCACATTCACAGTCCTCATCTCCTTGGCGCTTAATATGATAGATCGCACCACTGATATATTTTTTCCGTCTGCCTTGTCTTTATGGTGACATAGGATCTGCCTTAGTATTATGTGCGGTCAGAAACAAACATTCACTTTGTGTTTGGCATAGATGCGCTTTATGGCCCGGTTGCACCAAGGGGACGTAAAATTGCTCGGATAGGATTGTCGTAAGCCGCAACACCTTATTACTATTATTCATAATTAGACTTATACCATACAGTTTATCAAATTAACTATTCAGGGCTCAAAAGTTGAGTGCACCATGACTTATATATACTGTAGTAGTGTTTTGCTTTCAACCTATATCATAGTTTTTTATCTCTTTAATTTGTTTTGTTTTGTTTCTGATATATGCACAAACATCGGTGACGTACATGTATAGGCCCATGACGCCGGGCGAATCGTACAGTATGTCTATATCACAAGTCACGATAATAGATAAATACTATGGAGGCCATTTTGAAACCTTTTCCAGAGGCAGCTATTTTTTACAGCACCAAAGAAGCAACAATTGTGGCATTTTTCCACAACATTAGCATCAAGACTGTTTGTTCGTCATTAAGCAAAATTTTGGGTTTGAAAACCATGAAAAACAATCAATGATGTACAAACAATCCAGATACGCATCCTAGAACCGATAAAATATATGACAAATTCATAATTTGCATAAACAAAACGTGGAATAAATATTTTACAATAATAGTCAATAATAAATAACTTGTAGTATAAATTTAGCTGAAATAATGAGCAGAAAAACATTGACTCCAATTAATTTTTAGACAATATATCACTTACCAAACTCTCGTTCTTCCTGCAACAGGAATAGCTCAGAGAGGATTGAGGCAGCCTGACCAGGATTACTGACTGCTGGCAGCTGAATGGATACCTGTAGTATTGTCTTGGGTCTTTCGTTCTTTAGGTCACGTTATAATTAACCTTTTTCATCTTTTGCGGAAATACGAAGCGCGCACGACAGGAACCGCGCGCCACAGGGGTCATAGTGGTCCTCTGCTGTTTCCAGCATGGCAATGCTAGGTGTCGATGATGTACAAGGTGCGCATATAAAAAGGTCGTATGAAGCGTGCATTGCTTTCTGTCAAACTAAAAAGGTGGCTGAAGCACAGAAATGCGTAAACTGTAGGCAAGAAACAGCTATTTGGACGGAGAATCAAGCAATTAAATACAGACTTGACATTTAATATGGAATATTTTTTCCAAATCATAAATCATCAGTTTTTTTTCCTGTTTTGGTGACTGATAAATGAAAATAAGGATTACAGTCGTGTTTTAATAACTTTTTATAATCTCTTTATTGTCATTTTGACATCAGTTCATCAATTGAATCCGCCAGTGAAGCAAACAAAAATACATTGCCTATTCTAAGTCATACGACAACCATTGAAAACGATATTTTAGATCTCCATATTTTCCAAACTATCGTCTTTAAAAGAGTTACACGCCCCACAAAGGACCCTCATATCAGTGTCTAGTCACAGCAACATTTGTTGTTATGCCTGACCTCGTCTGGCCGCTACCAGAGCTTTCAAGCGGCAAGGAATTCCTTGGGATAGGTTTTTAGAGTTTAATCTGGAATTAAATTTCAGGCAACAGTCAAAACCTCTTCAATTTGGTTCAGTTTTGTTGTAGGGCATGTAGGCCGTTGATTCGACGAGTAATGACCCACCCATATATTGTCTATGTGGTTCAAAAATGGCGATTTTGATGACCAAGGTATCTGCTAATTCCCTTGGTTCTGTAAGTTATCTGCTATTAAAAGTGCTCTGTGTGAACCGGCAATCTCCCCGTGCAACCTTAAACTGTTCCTAAGGTGCCCAGTATCAAATGATACCACATTGGTCCACAGATTATTCCTTTATTTGATCTGGTTCAGGTTTTCGTCGATGACTACCATTGGTGCTTTGGCACCAATGTGGTATCTACTCCAAATACTGACGCTGTCAATGACCCTAGTCACTTTAGAAGCAGGACACGCTTCGTCGAAGGGCTCTTCAGGATGTTTATATACTCTGTTTTGACCAGTTGGGCAGTACGGGTGAAATCTGACCTCAATAAAGAAAGCCACGCAGTTTCAGTGTTCTACCAAGAAACGGTCATGGCCCTCAATTCATTAGAGAAACAGACGACGCTGTTTTGCTGTTTACAGTGGCTTACTCAGAGGTCGTCTTGTATCCTAACCTACTGAAACCAGTATGGTGTTCGTTAAATGCCTTGAAAAACGCGCTTTGCTGACACTTTGCCCCTCATTCTAAACGGACTAGGTGGCATTTGTTTAGTTGCAGCAGCATGTCCAGAAGGACAGTGCGTCCTGCACCCTGGTGGTAAGCTTCTGATACATTGGGCGTGGCCTCTGTGTAGGTACATTAGTTTTGGCATAACCCTATAAAACTGCGCGGACCATTCCGTGTGACACAATAGTCCGTCTGACAATGTCTGTCTTTTTCGCTCCATTCTGGCACAGATCAACAATTTTGTATAACACTGCTTAACTCATTTTACCCACTGCAAAACCGATCGCTTGCATGCAAATTTGCAAATTCTTAGATGCAGCAGTTGCCGACATATTAATAATTTTTTGGTAGAACCATGCTTCGCCAAACCCAAGCTTTGACCAGCCCAAAGGAGCACTACCCAATTAAATTACTGCATATCACACAATGTAGCAGTGCAACAGACATAGTAGTCACTTAATTGGTAGCGACACACCTGACTAGACACTTCTCCAGTCTGATATCTTATAGGAGATCTTAGTTTTTTGAAAAAAGAACGCATTTTTACCAAGGTATACCTTTGAAAATGAAATATTCCATATTAAATGTCAAGTCTGTATATTTTTTTCTCGGTTTAAATACGCTGCGCTTTACAACTAGACTTCACCTAAGCGTCCGAGCCTTGGCTGCACTTTCAATAGTGATGACGAACTAAAGCTTCGGAGTTCTTTTAAATGCTTCCAATAATAAAGATATGCGAAAGAGACTCGTTATTTTTTTATATATAAAATCAAAATAGCTAGTAGACTCGTACACAGCTTTCAAGAGTGTGGACAGGTGCGCAGGCCTACGTCTTCACAATTTTGTACATGTATATATGCAAGCTGTGGCGATATCACCTCATGTACCGGCAGTGTCAATTCATTACGATTTTTATGTCTTGTTTGATATCTTAAGAGATTTTTAAAGTGATAAAATGAAAAGATTTCCTGCATTGTTTGACTCGTAGCTACTGTGTATACAGGTAAAACTGACACGCAGATCGTTCGTCGGTGAACTGATTAAATCGTTTGGTACCTGATAAGGCATCAGGTGTTACTTGTTTAATTGTTCGGGAAGGCGGGCGGCCACAACTACGACCTTTCCTCTGTAATTAAAACCTTTTAAGTGTTAAATAGGTAAGACAGGAATTCTCGACTCTTTCCCAGACGATAATTAAAGTTTACCGTGTCTTATTCTAGTATATGTACAAAATTTACGACAGGTAAAAAATGTCAGCCTTTCGGTCTGACAAGTATGAACATTTTGTCAAACTGAAACAAAAACAAAATTATAGCAAGAGGCCAAATTATTTGATTTTTAAATGTTTTCATGCGTATTTTGATCGTTTTCAATCACAGACAATTAAATCATTCAAATAAAGTGTTTCCCACACATTTTATACTTTTCAACTATCTAAGACAGTTAAATATACGTAGGCCTACTTTAATACTAAGCATATTTGTATTACTTTACAAATACGTTGTTGGATTATGTTTATTATCCATTTTGTCTTTACCATACATGTATTATGTACGTGTAGCTTACAGAAAGGCTTTTCTGCATTTTTTGTATTTTCCAATTCTCTTGTCATTGAGTTCAGAAATAAATAACTTTTTATTTCGCCGATAACTCGTTCAACAAGAGCCGATGTACTTTCTTCTTCGTATGTCTCTGTTGATCTTGATAATATGAGCCCCGTTTGTACAAATCAGTAACACGTATACGGGACTGAATACATAATAAAAAAAATTTTTAACGTCTCACGTTAAAAAAAATAGAACCCACCCTGCTAAGGGTTATTAGAGACTAAAACCTGTGATGGGCCTACAACATTTAAAATGATCACTTATCAATAAAACACACACAAAAAGGATATTACATACAAAACTTTTCAAACCTTCTCTTTGTTGTTACACAAAAAGTCGTGAAAGTTCTTGAATTTTTTGTAAGTAGAATCCCCATGTAAAACTTCACGGCTTTTACTTTCTTTTTCCATAATCTCATGCTTGATGTCATTTCTTAATTTTAAGGCCCCGGCCTATTCTTCAATTTTTCTTTCACATCTTTATAATGTTTTTTTTCTTGCATTTTTTACCCCCGAGTTCTATTTGCCGATAGTTCGTTATATCCGTTGTTTAACTAAGCATTTCTGTTTTTTATTAAAGCACCGTTGATCTCCTAATATTATTGTTTTTCTTCATGCCTTCGAAATGTTCAGCGCAAACGCAGTGTCCTGCTTTTGATCCAAACCTGCTATATTTTCCTTTCTTTCTGACATATTTTTCATTCTAACGGGTTTGTTGGGAACTTATTAAACCTCATGTGTCGATCTCGCTTACTGTTATTGTAGTAGCGGGACAAAGAGCACGTAAACCCAGCCATGGTTTTTAGCACCGCTGTAAGTGTTTCGACGTAGCAGGGCTCCCCTACCCACAATGCAATTTCAATTTCCGGAAAAGATGTAAAAGAACAAAAATAATCTCCTTGTCTGATAAAATACAATTAAAATGTTTTGTATTGCTATTTATTTATTTAGGTCGAATCTCGTCCGTCTTTATTGTGTTCCACCAACTCCAGACTATAACGTTTTGTTACGGCATAACTCGGCTCGTCAATAATGAATTCTTGTAACACCGTGTTGCCTATCATCAGCTTTTCCATCACGCCCGATCCATTGGCGATCCCCTCTCTGTAAACGAACGGCACGACGTTCTCCAGTTCCTTGCAGGGAATCTGTATTGCGTATTGTCTATGCAGTTGTTTCTGGCAGTCTGTACTGTCATAATACAACTTTAGATAGGCAAAAGAGTCGCGAGGTGCGTAGAGAAGGATGTTACCAAAAGGACGCCTGTGGAGAGGAAATATGACTTTTTTTTCGAATGTCTTGTAAAGTTTACTTGAGCTGGGGTTGAGTGGGCGAGGTACTTTGGTCCGCTTAAGTTACCAGGAATATCCCAAATATGTGTTTGGTTTTCCGCGTACAGGAATATGTCGACTGCTGGCCATTTCCACTCGTCCACCGTGATATTTGACCACTTGTAATAGACCTTCAGTAACCCCGGGTAGCGGGTGTGGAGCGGGGTATGAACAACATAGTCTGGTGCATGTTTTGAAAATGCCTCCGTCAGTTTCGCCTTACTGCGAATGCTGCAATGAATGTCAGCATCTACATCCCATGGTATCATACCATGGTGTCTGTATGACCCGAGCAAGGTGCCCGCAGACATGAAATAGGTGATAGTGTTCTCCCTGCATACCCTGTCTATGGTACCTAGTATATTTGTAAAGATTTCTTTATCTTCAGCCGTGAGTTCCGATTGGAAAAAGGACAAAAGTACACCGGGGTTGTAATGTCTCCCTCCTCCGCCGGGTTTCAGCGAGTAAGACGGGAGTGAAGGAATCGATCCGATCTCCACTGGGTTGAGAGCGGTGTCTGTGTCGTGAGAATAATGATGTTTTCCTATTTGGGCTGTCCTTAGCAAAGATTTATCTTTGGATCACAACTGGCGGGCATTGGGTGGCAATGGTGCCTCTTTTTTCGGCTTCGTTGGGATTTTATCAGGAACACTGTATTTACACATTTGCGGCCTGTCGCCTATTATCTTCAAAACCGTCAACATTAACAGCACCGAACATCCAACAATCAAAAGGGATGAGAACTGTCTAAACACGCATCTGCATTGTGGTGA